GAAGTCTACCGGAAGTTAAGTTAGGGCCACAAAAGCGCGCATGCGCAGTAACGTTTGTTTATGTTATTGCCGTTGAAACCGTCTATACATTTTCAAAAAGTACTAATATGTACCATTTAGGAAGTATTATGTACACTTTAGTTAATAATATGTACGTTAAAGGTACTAATATGCACCCTTTAAGGATAAATGAGGTACAAAGGTGTACCTTTTGAAAAAGTACTGCCCCATTGACAGCTTTTGAACCGTTTTTTCTGAGTATGGAAAACACCCAACACCTCACACACAAACACGCATGCACATTCTGTTTATAACCAGATGGCAGGTGGGTGCTTTATCCTAATCACCTTGAAACCTGCAGCTGCCATACTCTTTGTTTAACTGTCCTCAATGGGAGTTTTATTTTACAACAAAGGATGTGAAAGTGAAAAAGGCTGTGCAACTACTGAATGTCAAATGCCTGTAAAAACAGGTGTCCTTCACCTTGTACACTGCTTCTACACTATAAAATTTACTATTTATGTATTTTTACCTATTTTGTCTTTCTAGGTTAAGCATTGGTCTAGCAAGTGTGCAAAGTAATTCCAAATAAAGTGATTTAAAATGAACATTTGTCCTCAAGTTCTTATCCTTGATGTAACCAATTTAAAAACCTAGCTAGAAATACAAAAATGAAAAGTACTTCCAAGGTCAAAGTTCAGTGGAGGAAGAGGCTGTTCAAAGATGGCAATGGTAATTTTCCCACCAAATTAAAAGAAAGTTGTTAAATTTACATACATATATTTCAATTGGTTCATTTATGTGTCATCTGTAATGTTAAATCAATAAAAAAAAATTGCTTAAATACTTTTATTTTAAAGACATAATTTATTGATTTTAGTGTTTTAAGAGAAGCTAAAGTGAACTTTTTTGAGAATTACCTAATTGTGTAATTGCAATATTATTATTGCAAAGGTTTTCCGTGATCTGACAAGTTTCATAGGATGTGGTTTGTAAGTGAGAGATGGAAGAAACAGACATAATGTTTCCATTGTCTTAAATGGACAGTTCAACCAAAAAATATCATTAAGCCTATGTCATCATTTACTTACCCTCATGCTGTTATAAACCAATATGTCATTCTTTCTTCTTTGGAAATTGCAAAAGAAAAAGGTAAATGTAAATGAAAATCACTGCCATTAATGGGTTTAAATATGTTGGTGCATTTAGCATGGAACATATTTAATGTGGGTTTGTGTGTGTGTGTGTGTGTATGTTGTTTTGGTTTGGTTTGTTTGCAGAGAGCAGTTACTAAGAGCATGTTCTGTGGTCTTCTCTCCGGATATTGGCCAAAGGCTATTGATTGTACAGAGTATGTACGTGCACAGAGTGTGTGGGTGGGTGGGTGGTTTGGGTTTGAAAAGCAGCTTGTGTCGCTTAACTTTACCATCGGAGTAAACAGCCTTCGTGCGTACTAACGTTGAGAGTGTTGATACTGTTTGCGATCTGGAGCCAAATCCGATTTGCAGATTAGAATCTTCCTCCTTTATCCAAAATGAACTGAAACGGCTTCATTTGTTCTGTCCTGTTTTTTTCTTAATTCACCTGAAAAGGCAAATTACAGTTTTTCTGAGTTTTTGAAGTATCAACACAAGTAGCTTTGTAAGTCAAGTAGTTTGTAGATTTAATAGAATTTAGAGAATATTAGAACTTTTGTCCATGCTCCAGCCCAGTAGGTGGCAAGAATGCACCTATTGTTTGTTTGTCAACCGCCATAAAAGAATAATAAAAAGAATGTTAAGCTATGTCATGCCATGCTGGGGTGGCACCAGGATCACCCTCTGCTACATGCCTTTTCTTTTCTTTCTTTCTTTTTTTGTTTTTGCCTTGAAATTAAATATTCACATTCTTCATGGTATCATTTGCTTTTTTGGAAAAAAATATATATTTATGGCACTTAGAGAGGTATGTTCAATACAGTTGTTTTGACAGAAGGAAACCAGATACATCTCTAGTTTCAACATTATTTGTTCTTCAGACATTCTCCTTTAAAATAAAAGAAGCATAATATTTCTGCAAAGTGACCCAGATTTGGTTTTTGACCACTAAATATGTGTACAATTTAATGATTTACAGTGGTGGCCAAAATTATTAGAACACTAGTATTTTCACCAGCTAAAAATGGTTTTAAGTCAGTTATTTCTATTTTTTGCTATAGTGTGTCAGTAGGAAATATCAGTTTACATTTCCAAACATTCCTTTTGCCATTAATTGTAATAATCCAGTGAGATTTTTGTTTGCACAAGGAGTCTGACAGCAGCCAGTGCTCCACACAGAGATCTGATCATCATCCAGTCTGTCTGGAATCACATGAAGAAACAGAACAAACTAAATCCAGAACTGTGGCAACGTCTCCAAGATGCTTCAAGAAACCTTCCTGCAAAACTACAGTACTGTGAAAAGTTGTAGACACTTGTGTAAAAATTATGTAAAATTATACCTTGTGTTTGTGATCCCTTGGACATTTTGGCTGAATTTGTAAAGGTCCCCTGAAGTGCCATGAAACATGCAGCATTATTCTATGTGGTGACGTAATTTAAACTGAAACGTTGTTGAGCTCCAGTAAGTAAGGCTGTCAATTGCCTATTTTATTCACTTAAACATCGGACGAAGTGATTATGCGAGTGCAGAGTACACAGTTTGAGTGAGAGGAGAGACACGTTTTAAGTGCGCGCACGCTCTCTGGGCGAGATAGCGTGAATATGAAAGCGCGCGTCCGGTTTTGTTCAAGAGCAAAGAAAATCCGCGTGCGAGGGAAGAGATTCGCGCTCGCGCATTATATTAATAATAGC